CTCTCTCTCTAAAATATATATATATATATATATATATATATATATATATATATATATATATATATATATATATATATATATATATATATAGAGAGAGAGAGAGAGAGAGAGAACAACCACAATTAACATTAGTGATAATAAAAGTACTATGTATATAATTATTTATAATTATATAGAGTATAGAGAAGGGTCTTGGGCAACATATATTGAAATACTTAATCTTCAGTTACTCATAATAGCTAAAGATGTGGAAACAACTAAGTGTTCATCAGTGGCTGAGGCCGGTTTGGCTCAATGGATAGAGCGTCGGCTTGGGGACTGAAAGGTCCCGGGTTCGATTCTGGTCAAGGGCAAGGGCATGTACCTTGGTTGGGGGCACATCCCCATCCCCAGTAGGGGGTGTGCAAGAGGCAGCTGATAGATGACTCTCTCTCATCGATGTTTCTAACTCTCTATCTCTCTCCTTTCCTCTCTGTACAAAATCAATAAAATATATTTAAAAAATAATAATAATAAAATAAATAAATAAATGTTCATCACTGGATGAATGAATAAATAAAATGTGGTGTTTACATATAAATATAATGGGTTGTTAACCTTAAAAGAAAAGAAAATCAGGTCATAGATAACAAATTGGATATTGATTATTTACCCTAATTAAATTTACCTGCAAAATATTTAGGCCTATGCCTTTTAGGTACTCTGAATTTTCTTTTATCTTATTCTGTTATTACTGGTATGCACTTTCTATTTGTTTTTGTTTCAATTGATAATTTATATTTTCCTAGAGTAATATTTGTTTAATCTATATTTATTTAGTGTTTTTTTACATATCCTCTATACATGTAGCTATGCTCCTTTATTATTACTAATGTTAGTTGTGGTTTTTCTCTTTTTTTATTATGTTTAATGAGACTCAATGAATGTCAATGTCTTGGTGTTTTCAAATTAAAAGACAAGTTTTAATGATCACTTTTAATTCTGGTTAATTATTTGTTTTCTTGTATTAATTTTGACTTAATATTAATTTGCATTTTTTGTTGTTATTGTTTATTTTCTAATGTATTCATTTGAAAATTTATTTTCAATCTATTTTAAATATATGCATTTAGAGTAAAATATTTTCTTTGGACTGCTCTTTGGCTGTTATAAAGATTTAAATATGCAAAGTACTCACTAATGTTCATTTTAAGAAGGTTGTGATTTTGTTTTATTTATTTTTTAATCCTCACCTGAGGATATGATTTTATTGATTTTAGAGAGAGAAGAAGGGATGGAGTGGGAGGAGAGAGAGAGAGAGAGAGAGAGAGAGAGAGAGAGAGAGAAACATTTATGTGAGAGAGAAACTTCAATTGGTTGCCTCCTGTATCCTGAGCTGGGATTGAACCCAAAACCCAAGTATATGCACTGACTCAGAATCAAACCCAAAATCTTTTGGTGCAGGGGAAAATGTTCCAAGTAACTGAGCCACACCGGCCAGGGCTAAGTAGGTTTGCGATTTTAGAGAACTTTTTCTCTTCATCTCAAAAGAACATTTAAAGAAATATCCCAAATGAACAGATTGCTTTTGAAGATATATATATATATATATATATATATATATATATACACACACACACACACACACATCCCGTATTTTCCAGCATATAGGACGACCCCCTAATTTTACAGTTAAAACATAGGTTTAGGTCTATATTCGCTGTATAAGACTACCCCCCACTTCCAAGGCAACACCAGTTCTTTTTTTTAATAGACCGCCTCTCTAACTCAGCCAATCCGAGCAGGCTTTTTATGCATGCAAATTACACATGTTCTGTACTCGAAGCTACACTGTGTTCTAGTAAAAAGCCTGCTCAGATTGGCCAGAGTCAGAGAAGCTGTCTATTAAAAAAAAGAACTGGTGTTGCCTCGGAAGTGGGGGGTAGTCTTATACAGCGAATATAGGCCTAAACCTATGTTTTAGCTGTACAATTGGGGGGTTGTCTTATACGCCAGAAAATACGGTGTGTGTGTGTGTGTGTGTGTGTGTGTGTGTGTGTGTGTGTGTATAGCAATCATACGTCGTTTAAATGTATATAGATGTAATTTAAAATTTTATGTACTTTAAGTGAGTGAATGTAGCCTTCACTGACTTCAACAATTTTCATTTTTGAAATTAAAATTTTCTTTTTAATCAAATCCAAGGTTAATGTATTTTAATTTCATGGATGATCAAAAGAATGTCTATTCTCTGTTTAACAGGAATAAAGCTTTAAATATATTTGGTTACTATTCTTGGTGTTTACCTTACTGAGTTCTCTAAATTTTATTTTATTCTACTTCTGTTCTTGGAATACAATTCACTGACTATTCAACATCTACTAATGAATGCTAGTATCTCACACACTGATTCACCTCAGGCTGTTGAAGTTAAGGGAACCATCAAACATGTATGATGGGGGGGAAAAAAAGAAAGGAATGATAACCCATAGTTGACCTCTGAGAGTCAAGCATATGTGCTGGTAGAGTTCCGAGAAGTCAGGATACAGGGAGAATAAATAATAAAACTAAGCAAGACTTTCCATGGTTCAGTGAGACGGCTCTGAAAGTAATGTTACAACTGTATCAATCCATATTTTCTGCCCTAAAAGCCTTTGGAGGTCATTATGGAAATAGCAATTAATTTTTGTGACTAAAAGAAAATGTATAAATTTTATGTCACAGCATTTCCAAAATGTGTCCCATAAAACTACTCTGAGAAAGCTAATCATTAAAAAATAAAAAGATTTTGAGTTAATGCATATTTGCCTATTTAAAGACTGTCAAGTTTTGAGATGAAGACAGATGTTTAACTTATTTTGTTTTCCAAACTTTTAAAACTCTAAAAACTTTTATTTTATAAAACACCTATTACTATTTAGCAGTTCAGAATAGTCAATTTACTATATTATGTAATTTCACAAAGATATCATTTATATAATTTATTATATTAAATGTATCCTGTTATAGAAATATCTGGGTTGCATGTTCTCTCCCTGGCCCCAGTTGGGGTGCCTGAAGAAGGCAAATGTGGCTCTCTCACATCTACATTTCTCTCTCTCTTCCCTCTCCCTCTCACTCTCTGCAAAAGCAATGGAAAAAATATCCTAAGGATTCAAAACAAAACTAAACAAAACAAGAAAAAGATAAAGGAAGAGGAATTGAGTTATAGAGAAGTCAATTTATTCAAGGTCATCTGGGACAGGGTAATAGATATTGACTTTCAAGTCAATGTAATTTCTATTTCATTAGCTGATTTTGATTGGCTTCCATGATTCTATGATTCCATGATTCTATGGAATCTCACTGGACTCTTTTGATCTTTAGAACATAATTTTCTCTATGTGGTCCAGATATCAGTTATCTCACCTCAACATCAAGTTTAAATATCTATGCTAATTAGACTGGAAGACCTTCCAGACATCCTTCTGGACAAAGCCATTTGGTGGGGCAGAGGCAGAGGCGGTTAGGGGTTAGGGGTGATCAGGCAGGTGAGCAGTTAGGAGCCAGTGGTCCCAGATTGTGAAAGGGATGTCGGACTGCTGACAGCTGGACATCCTCCAAGAGGTCCCAGATTGGAGAGGGTGCAGGCTGGGCTGAGGAACACTGGTTTCCACCCCCCCACCCATGCACAAATTTCATGCACCAGGCCACTAGCATATATATATATATATGGGAGAGGGAAAGGGAGAGGGAGAAGGAGAGGGAGGGAGGGAGGGAAGGAGGGAGAGAGAGAGAGAGAGAGAGAGAGAGAGAGAGAGAGAGAGAGAGAGAGAGAGAGAGAAATATCAGTGATGATGGAGAATCACTGATTGGCTGCCTCCTGCACACCCCCTACTGGGGATCAAGCCCACAGCCTAGTTATGTGCATTTGACCAGAATCAACCCGAACCCTTCAGTCCGAAGGCCCATGCTTTATCCACTGAGCCAAACTAGCCAGGGCTCAATCTCAACTTTATATAAATATATGATCATTTATATTACTTAGAATAGATGCTACTAAATGAAGAAAGTCTGACAAAGTACAAAAAAATTATTTCCTTTTTAAGATCAAACATATTTTGTATTAACTTCCATATATACTATAAGAATAATAAGTTAATACATATATAGGGAAACAGAGAATCTATGTTTTAAAATCTACATTGTCTTTCTCATCCACGAATTAAATATCTAGTTTACATTTTGCTTTTAGGATTTAACTTATTTGTATTCAGGGAATATAAATTTGCTTTAAAATCCATCAAAGTAAAAAGTGATTTGACAAGTAAATTTTTTTCCAGGAAATTATGTAGATATTAGAGGCCTGATGCATGAAATTTGTGCAAGAGTAGGCCTTCCTTCCCTTGGCTGCCAGCACAAGATTCCCTCTTGCACCCGGGACCCAGACTTCCCTTCAGCCGCCAAAAGGCACCCAGAACTTGGGCTCCTTTCACAGCCCCAGCTTCATCTGGAAGGTCATCCAGAAGGAAGCCCAGAAGGATATCCAGTCTAATTAGCATATTATGCTTTTATTTTTATAGATGCCCTTACATGCACACAGAAACACACACACACAAAAACAAAACAAAACAAAACAAAACAAAACAACAACAAAAAACCACACATGCATATATGGACTCAGAAGTGAAATATCTATATGAATGTGTGTCTATTTGTATACACACAAAAATATCTATATTTTCTGATGTTACTTCTAGCAACACAAATCACTGTGTAATTAAATAATTTGTACTTATATTTCCATACACAAACTTTTTTTTTTTTTTAATCTACTTTCCCCAGTCTACTTTGTAAACCCCATAATTCAATTGTGTGAATCATTCAGAATTTAAGATTTAGATGATGGCTCTTTGGGTCTTAGTAAACAATATTAAGACAACAGTCTAAACATTTAAGGGGAAGAATCTTATAGTCATATAATTGTTTCTTTTTTAATATTTTTCAAAAAGTAACTGACTTCACAAACACCAACTATAACATGATTTAGACAACTGAGAAACAGGCAAGTGTATTTTAAAATGCTAAAATAAAACACATTTGTACAAGTACAAAGCGAAACAATGCTGATAAAAATGTTAAATTTTATGAAAAAAATCATTTGCAATTCACATCAAAATAATTTAACATTCTCTATTGTTTTAATAGTACAAGTTGCAACAACAGAAAAAGAACAGATACACGCACACAATTTTTTTTTAAACCAAATCAGTTATAAGTGCAGAAAAATTTAAGTACAAGCACTTGTAGCCCACACAAATCTTTTAGGATTGGCACCATCTTCCTAAAACATCTATATTCTATATAGATTTCTAATTACAACACCACCAGCAGCTGCCATTGAAATCTAGAAATACACACAATATACATAGTATATTTGTTCACATTGGGAAGATCAGTGAAATTCAGCCAACTATTTTATACATGCCTCATTTTTCAACAGATAGTAGAGAATCTCCCAGGCCTCAGACCCTCTTTAAAGTGAATTCTAATTGACCTTTATGCTTTTCACTGATCTGTATTTTTTCACAGTATAAAATTGTAAATGGTTAACTATAGAGATACTGACAGCTTGAGGGTTATTAATAAGCTGTGGCTAAATGTGAACTCAGATAATACCTTTGAAGTCTCCAAAACATGTACATTTTGCTAGGAGACTAACATAGAAAATGTTTGTTTGCATTTAATTCCTGGTTTGGAAGTCACAGAACTGTAGCAGAGCCATTATACAATTCATTTACAGTCAGACACAGCTCCTAGTCTTCCTGACCACGTGCTGGTAACAGCAGTAGCTTGGGAAAGACTGTTACTATCCAGGTTTAGCAACAGTTGGGACTTTGCTATTTTTTTCCAGTCAAATTTTTTTTTTTCTGGTTCTCCTTTCCATACTCCCTTTCTCTCTGTTCCCCCCTAATCTAGACAGATGGTTCTTCCCAATCCAGATGTGCTTTTCTCAGGCTCCCCCCACTTGTCTCCCCAAATCAAAGAATGGGTAGATTGCTTAGATAGTCCACATCACTGGATCAAAATAGGTCTTCTTTTTTTTTTTTTTTTTTTTTTTTTTTTTTTTTTCTCCCATCCTGGAACCAAACTGTCCTGGAGGATCACTTTTCTGAACTTTAGCATTTCGCTGTACTTTCCCCCTTCTTTTAGTCCCAACTGAATTATCACTGGGCACCAGGAACAGATTGTTTTCAAGGACATTCAATGAAGATAGGTACCCAAATTAATTGCGAAGTTCACATCCTAGCCCTAGAAGGAATATTCATTTTTCTTTGTACTGTAGATTTATTACTTGGAACCTGGTATGAGAATTGGCAAAGAGACAGAATTAGCATCATTCCAAAATAAAAAAAATCTCAAGATTGCACTACGACTAACAATATGTATTATACAATGTATAGAATGAAGTGGCACAGGGTATAGAAATACAGAGAACAATACATCTTGTCCCCTAATTGGATAGATTATTTTTCTTAGAGTTGATTGTAATTTCATGTGGCATTATTACCTGGTAATTTATTTGCATTAAATTATAATTTCTAATAAATTAATGTACTTTTAAAAGAAATATGTTACTAAAAAGAAATTATTTGATAATGGAGAAGTTTAAAAATGGCATTCTATTGGTCAATACAGTGAAACTTATTATACTTGAGAGTAAAATGGAACTCAAAATAGGGTTTTATGAAAGACATTTTAAAACTTAGATAGTAAAGCATATTTAGAAATGTTTCAATGTCTAAGAATCAAGACAGTAATCCTCAGGTGAATGCCACGCTTTAGATGAGGATCCAGGGATAATAATACTTCAAGATATTTACATTTGTTTTTAGAGTAGAGGCATACTTTCCATGATACCTTAAAATTTAGCTAGGTTCACTCTCTTTCAAGGGTCTCATATCATATTTGGAATCTGAGAGCTCTGATGATGCTCTTTCAAATTAGTCATAGGATGTTAGAAGTTTTAAATTTATATTTGAGTAAATTAATGCTAGCTTTGAATATTTTATATTGGGAGATTTGATTTAAAATTTAACACTAAAACAGGTACCAAGAAAGGGAAGTCCAGAATATTTATTATAGTTTTTAAAAGTGGAGAACAATAAATTATGGTCAATTGATATATTTCTATTTCTGAATTCTTTTTTAAAAGTAGATGTGAAAAAAAAAAAAAAAGAAAACATACCAAATAAGGATATTGAGCAAAAGAAAAAAAGGTTTTACCTATTTTTCTCTCTGCCAAAAATGTACTTCTGCCTCACAGAAAAACTTTTTCATAAGGCTACCTTTAGTATAAGGCTGGGTCAACTGAACTTGAAATTTATAGGACATCTCCTCCTTTTATTACTATCCTTATTTAAAAATCAAAAACATTTGGCACCTGAGGATAGCTGTAATGGGAGGAAGAAAGAGATGACAGTGGATGCAGGTCTTGAGCTGTGAATTCTATCTATGTGAGCCTATTAGAGCATGTGTGTTTCTATTATAACTTTAAATCTCTTTTCTGCAGTATTTAAAAAGTGACTGTATGAAATGCACAGAATGATACTAATAATCACTTTAAAAAGGAAAATAGTCATAATTGTTTTGCCTCTTTTTGGAATGGCTAAGAAAGACTGTGTGGTTTGTTTTCATTAAGGTTCCTCTGTTTTAGTATTCCGTATTGCTTTGAAAAATCTACATTTGTCATAGTTCATAGCTGCCCTGTTTGCAGCAGCCAAGAAAAGTTAAAATCACTGCTCACTGGCATGGCTAAATCTCTGCTAAGCTGAGTTGACACAGTTTAACATTTCCAGTGTATTCAGACGGTGTTAATTTTTGAACAACAGTGCCTCCAATCGTGACAATGTCTTCATTGGGTCTTTGGATCATTCTTCTTCCAGTGGTGGGACTTGAAAAGAACAGAGGAGCTTTTTTTTTTTTCTTTTTCTTTTTTCTGCAGCAGGTTCTCAAAAGAAAGGCAGGAAGAAGCCCAAATGCATATGCTAATAGTTTAGCTGGCAATACTAACGGAACAGCATTCATAAGGAGGAGTGGCCACAGTTCATGAAAGAGATAGCCAAGCTGGAGCTTAAGAAGGATTGTTATAAAGAGCATTTCCAGCTACACAACGCACCCCAGTAAGGGAATTACAAAACAGTATTCCAGAAAATATTTTTTGCTACTCCAGGTTTGATTGGCAACATGGTGAAATAGTCAAGAAATCTTCCACTGGTTTTCTTGGTCAACGGAGGTGAATTAAAATAACTAGATGGAATCTCGGATGCAGGCTTTTGGAAGAGGGTTTCACAAATAAATTGGAGAGGGAAGGAAGTCTCTGATGAAAAGCCCTACATATATCAGCTCACCACTCATGATCTGATTGTGTGTTATGCTTCAGACACACTCACTAAGCCTCAGTAAATGCCAGGCTCAAGGAACTGCTTTTCAAAGTCTTTAAAAGAAAAGGGGGAGGAGGAAACAGAAAGAAAAGAGAAACAAACAAACAAAACAGGAGATGGGTTGACGTTTTGGTCCCAGATTTCCAGTTTGTTAGAAAATGTACATTCATGTTTGGCGAATCCAAGACTCTTCTGGGAAAAGAACTAAAGTGAACAAAACAGAACTCTGTACAGTTGCTGATCAGCTATGCCTTTTCCCCCTCCGTGATGCTGTTTCACACTCTTTGCTTCCCTAGAGCAAAGCACTTGGTAGGTAACTGGTTGTTGTTTGTTTTGTTTTTTTTTAGCAGACTCCTGCCAGCCCTCAAAAAAACAGCAGTGTTTCTTAAAAGCCCATGTTTTCTAAGGCCACTAGAAGAAAATCTGCCGAAAGATTTGTCGTTGGTGGTGTCTTCGTCGGGTCGATGTGAAATAGCACTGGTGCATCTCACGTCGTCTCCAGGGCGGCTTTTTTTTACATCCCCATCTTCTACCTCTGACCTCAAACCAGGCGACGGCACCTGTCACCGCGTGGGGACACGTGCACGCGGGCGGCCCGGCTGCATGGGGAGGAGAACCCAGTGCGGTTGGTTTCCAATGACTTTTCACAAGGACGAGGAGCTCTGCGTGTAATCTCTGATGATCAGTGTGTCATATTTGGGAGACGACGGGATGCACAGGGCGGATTCGGACACTGGTGAGTTGGGGGTCGTGCTCCCCGAGTCCACCGAGTCTCTGAAGGGGGACGGCGGGGTGAGGGCCACCAACTCCTCCAGGTCCGGCTTGCCCGCTGCAGCTGCCGCAGCTTCAGGCCCTGGCGCCGCCGGGCTCTCCGGGGCCGCGCCCCCCGCCGGAGGGGCCACCGCTGCTGCTCCCACGGGCTGCGCCCCCCCAGCCGTGACCTCGATGGCGGGCAGAGGCTGGATTTCGGCGAAGGTGGTCACCGTGGTGGGCAGCTGGATCTCTGTGGGGATCAGGTAGGAGGAGCAGAGCGGGGCGCCAGCGCCGGGCCCGGGGGCGGGGGCAGCGGCGGTGGACAGCATCATGGAGTTGAGCTCGCTGATGTTGGCCGTGAAGCGGGTCACCACGCTGCTGATCTGCTCCATGAGCGAGCCCTGCGAGGCGCTGCTGCTGCTGCTGCCGCCGCGAGCCGCGGGCTCCGAGGACAGCGCGGGCGGCGGCGGCGGCGCGTCCTGGTCGTCGGGGCGGCCGGCCGGGCCCGCGCGCCGGCTCAGCGTGCTGATGGAGGGCGAGGGCGGGCGCGCGGGCGCGGGCAGCTGCTCCTCGGCCTCCGCCACGTCGTACAGCGCCTTGGGGCCGGCATCGGGGGGCTCGGGGCCTCCGGGGCCCGCAGGGGTGCAGCTGGTGCCGCTGCTGCCCGTGGCCCCCGCGCAGGAGCCCGCGCCCCCGCCGCCCCCGGCCCCGCCGCCCGCGCCCAGGCCGCGGCCCTCCGTGCCCTTGGGGAAGGGCTTGATGACCGCCGTCTGGTTGGGGTTCTCCTTCTTGTTGATGTGGATGGACAGCCGCTGCCACAGGTGCTGCCCGCGCCCGCTGCGCTCGTTCTGGGCCCACGTGACCGACTTCCCGTTGGAGCTGCGGAGAGAAGAATGGAGAGGAGAGGTGACTCAGGGAGGTCCCCAGCGGCTTTCCCCAAGGGTGGGTGGGGTTAGAGTTAGGGGATTTGGATGGGGAAGGACCCCCCTGGTTCCTTCAGGAAAGAAGGCATCCACAGGACACCGTGGAAAGAGATCTTGGAAGTGGCATTCGCTTGCTTCAAGCCAGCTCCCTTGTGGCTGGCCTTCTGCCTATCATTTCCAGGAACGGGGATATGAGGAAGGGTGAAGCAGTAAGTATGGGGATTCTGCAGTCGTTCTGAGCCTGCCCGGGTGTGCACCAGGCGGTTATACTGCAAACGTGGAGGCCAGAGCTTGCAGTATTGGGGCTCTGCACAGGAGACCCCGGTGCAGGCCTAGGACTCCCTAGACATAGCGGCCTCTGAAAGAGAAGAACTGGGACCTCCACTCACCAACCCAGTCCTGGAGAGGAGGAGGAAGAGTCAGGCCTTCCCAGGAAGTAGACAGTAGTTCCAGTTCAGTTTTTATTCTGCCAGCCATTGGTTGGTGTATTTAACTTAGGGATTTCTATATGAGTTCTTAACTTTGAAAATTGTTTTACTCAGTCTATCTTATCTTGTGGAAAATAGAAATTCATATGCATTTCTAATTAATTAGGACTTTTCTTTTTCTTCATAGGAAGTTTCCTCATCAATTTATTTGTAGGCTTAAAAATTGAAATAATTCTACGAGAGAACATGTAATATGTTGCCTTTGGCACCTACCATAATGCTTTCAAATTAGGGGCTTAAGTATTATGTGACAGATGTGCTTTCTTAGGGTCTTTCTCCCTCTTTCTTCTCCCAGGCAGTTCTTTTTGGTTCCACTCAGGGATCTGAAAGCTGCTCTGATGAAGATAGTACGGGTGCCTCCGTGCCTGACCGCAGAAAAGGACTCAATGGCCTCTGAAGCTCTGTCGGGCAGAGGATGTGGCTTGACCTTCAGGGATGGTATAGGAAGAGATCCTGATGTGACTTCTCCTCATGAAGGAACTTGAGATCTCTTTATCTGAGGGTCTGTTAGGTCCAGACAACTCGATTTTAGGTGCTGTGACCAGGAGATAGCCTTGGGCAGTCTGTAGATAAAAGGCTCTGGCCACCGAATTTTATTATCTCAGCAAGTGGTTATCAACCTTAACTGTGCATAAGACTCATTTAGGATATTTGTCCAACATCCTAGGCAGGATCCCAAGAGATTCTGATTGTCTGCATTGGGTTCCAATGACCTATGCCTTTTACAAGTCCTCTTGCTCTCCAAACTGGTCGGGTCAGGAAAGTTTTGCAAACTGAGCAGGTGTTTTGCAAACTGAGAAACTCTATCAGGAAGCTCTCCATTCTCTCTGGGTTGCCATTGCTCCCTTGGGCTCTGGAGGCCAAGCTAGAGGGCCAGCCTACCTTTGCCAGGCAGGGGACTGAGTTGTAGTTGGGTAGCCCCAACTATCTTGGGGATACCCAACTACAACTGCTATACTCACTCTGCCTGAGACACCCACTGCCTTGATAACAGACCACTGTTTCTGCAGCCCCTATAACATGCTTCCTGCCTCTTTTCCACACGGATTCCATTGTCTTCATCTATCCATCTGCACTTTGTGGTCTTCCTTGCTCTGCTCCTTCCTTTGAACTCTCATTCCATTTACTCTACCCAGGGCATTGCACCTTGGTGTCCTTGGGAATTGGGGAATGTGAGGTACCCCCCAACCCCTACCTCTCTTTCTGCAAAGGATGGATAGATTATATCCAGGTTTGGAGGTTGCTATGCATCCTCAGTAGCAGAAAAGGCCCTGCCAACCTCTAACTTTTGTTTCCAGGAAAGTTTCATGGTTTGTTTTTACATTCTGCATCAACCTGACCTGCCACCTTTTATGTTTTTAGTGCATTATTTTTCTTCTTCCCAGGTGTCCACTAACTCCTGGAACATGACACAGAATAAATGGGCCAGATTATTTATGGTGTTTGATTTGGAGGATGTTTGCCAACAACCCCTTTCTCTCCTACCAGTGGGATGAAAAACAGGCATGTTGGGAGGGACAATACGTCTTTCAGTTCTCTGAGGCTACTTTAATACAAAGCATGGGCTAGAAACTAGAAGGATAACTGGATTTATTCTCCAAGCTTTACCCGAGGGAAGTTCTTGTTCCCAGCACTGAAAGGTTTTAATGGAACCTAACTTCGGGTGTTAACAGTGACAATCCTTGGGAATCACATGTAGCTATGCCCAAAACATGATAGCAGATTTAAACGTTCTGGATGAATGTGTGAGGAGGAAACTATCCTAACCAACCAATATGCACACAATACTGTTATCTTTCCTGCCATCCTTTGCTCACAGTGCCCATGGTCATCAGGCAATCAGAATAACAATGGAAATGGACACAAGGAGACACTGGAGAAATGGAGTCTAAATGTGAGCTCTTCATATCATTTCTTGGGTAATAAAATATATTTTTCTACAAAGTAAATGGCAACTCTCAGAAAAAAAATCTCTAATTTATGACATTAATCTGTTTATTAGCAGAATATAGTTCCCATGAAGACAGAGATCTTATCTATCTTGTTTATTGGCACACAGATCTTAATAAGGGTGTGATGGAGGAATAGGATTATTATGCTAACAGGGAAGTTTATGTTGTCCTGGCAAGTGTAATGGACAAAGAATCCTAAAATCTGGGCTCTAATTCTGGATCAGCCATCCTGGATGCTTAGATAATAATAAGAATCTCTTTAAGCCTTGGTTAAAAATAAAACAAACAAACAAACAAATATCTATAATTTGATGAAGGTTGTTGTGAGGATGTAAAGAAAAGGGTCTAGCAAGGAGAAGGTACCTATAGATTAGCTTTTGCATTCCAGAATACTACATTTCAGAAAATACTACATTTCAGAAAATAAAAACAGTATACTCAGTGCCATTTTGAGTTTTGTTTTGAGGAACAGAGAATTCAATGCACAGTAAAATATATGGTAAAGCCATAAAATATTTCTGGTTATTTCTCCTTAACATGACCAATTGTAACAAAAATTGGAGTTTCATGGGGCTTGATCTGTGGTCTTTTTTCTCACCCCGAGCTCTGTCCTTGGATGATAGCATCTACTCCACTAAATTCCACATTATTCGTAGACCACATTTTACTTCTTCCTAAAATGCCCTTTCATTGTGCTCTGTGCTCTGTCTTTACCTTCCTTTTTGCTAAAACTCTTCCTTTAAAATTTTGATTTCACTTTAATTGACTTTTCTGGAGGGATGCTTTTCTGATCCTACCCCTGACTAAGGTACACAGAGCCCTGCCTTAGGCACTTAATAACTCTTTGCTGTTTGTACATCTCATTGCTGACTGGAGTGTTTTGAAGGCACAAACAGAGGGTTCTTTGTTGTCTGTTATATCCATACACCAGTGCCTTACCTATAATTCAGTAGGTGTTTGTTTTGGCCAGGTGCTCAATAATATTTTGGGGCAAATAATTGGATAAATGCATTTCATTTAAAAAATCATACTGAATTGTTTTTCTGTTGAAAGTTTTAAAAGTAATTCAGTGTTAATTAAATTCTCTTCTTATCTTATGGATCCATTTTTTATTTTATTTTATAATGCACGGTACTGACTAATACTTAGTGTACACAGATAAAATATTTCATTATGGAAACACAGATCTTGATATCTACTATGACTATCACAAAATGTTTATTCCTTTTCTGTCATTCACATATAGCTGTTTTAGTGAAACTTCTCAGTGGTGAAAACTTACTGAGTCAGTATGAGCTGTGGATTCCGAATGTGGGTCCAAGATCTGGCCCTGAGTGACATTGGGCAAATAAATCACTTAACACGTGTAAGCCTCTTTGCTTATTGGTAAAAATGGAGGAAATGAACCTCCCCTGCTCACCTCACATGATTTCTGGGCAGAACCAAAGGGTAATGCACACAAGGATACTTGAATAAGCAAAGCCCCTCTGCAAGGGGGTATTTATCAACCCTTCCATTCAATTGAGACACAGTGTTGTTGATTATTACTTAGGCTGAAAAAAATTTTTTTTAAAGCATCAGGATTGTACATTTGTCCTAAGGACCTGAGGTAAGAAAAAGGGAAGGGAACTTGTCCTTACCTGCCTAGAGCACTTCACCTTACCACTGAGTACTATCCTCTTTATTAAAGATGGAGGAGGAAAGAGGCACAGGGGAGAGACAGGACAAGGCATTGGCTACATCTGGGAAGGAGGACAAACTGGCCAAAATAAACACTAATAGACACTTCTTGCTCTTTCCAGACACCAATGAACCCTTTTGCCAAGTATAATTCCATGTAATTAATCTATTGTTTTATCATATTTGATTATTTGCTCTCTGTTTCTGAAAAAATAAAGCAGCATTTCAATAATGTTATTTGAGGGAGGGGTTTTTAATTTGTTTATTTTTGTGTATCTTTTAGGTCTGCCAAAATTTCACTTTATATCTCTATTCTCACAAATGTACTCTGTCTTCTTTTCTATGTGGGGCACAAATAATTTATTCATTTCAAGCCGTCTCTGAATGTCAGTTCAATGACCTCTCCCATCTATTCATTTGCCAAAACCTGCAGGAATTAGAGCATTCTGCTATGGCACACCATCGTCAGGAAGCAAATATTAATACAGAGAGTTTAACCATCAAAAGTCTATGGAATTTAGAATTTTTATGTTCATTTTAAATGGCTGTTGAGTGATCTGTATGGTTTTTCCCCTTAGAACTTGTTTAGGGTTTTATTAATAGCATATAAACAATTAAAATTCGCAAGAGTATTTTATCTAATGGGGGGAAAAAGCGCCCCAGACTCCGAAGCCCTTATGCTCTCTTTTGTTACATAGCTTATTAGTACCTTCATAAGTTGCACACTTTCATGGCATCAGAATAATCGAATATATCCTCTGAAAATTACCAAATTCTCCTTATGAAACAGTTATCTTAATTACTAAACCATTCTTGTTTGTGATTTTGGGTTGAGG